GAGATCACAAGGTCAGGGCGAAACTAAAATCACTAATGAACTTCCACGTCCCACTGTGTACGCCTTGTCATTGATAAACATTTTAACAGGGTTCAAGAACAGAGAACATATCTGACTAGAATTCTCCAGGCTGGAGTTTTCTAATCCTAGCAAGCCTAGTAGTGCCGAAGGAGACTAGGGCATGTTTCATCTCTATCTACATCTGCATAAGGCAGACACTCCTGGGTGGCCATTTCAGAGGCCTCCTCTGGGAATGCATTCTTTTCCCAGGGCTGTTAATATTCCTCACTGGGGAAAGAATTCAGCTGTTTTTGGTAATAAGAGAAATATGGCTCTGTCCTGCCCGGCCCACAGGCAGCCAGACTTTAAGGTTATGTCCCTTGTTCCCTGAAAATCGCTGTTATCCTATTCTTAAGGTGCCCAGATTTAATATTGTTCAAACACACATGCTCTACAAACAATTTGTGCAGTTAACGCAATCATCATAGGGTCCTGAGGTGATATACATCCTCAGCTTATGAAGATGACGGATTAAGAGATTAAACTAAAGACAGGCATAGGAAATCACAAGAGTGTTGATTGGGGAAGTGATAAATGTCCATGAAATCTTCATAATTTACATTCAGAGATTGCAGTAAAGACAGGCATAAGAAATTATAAAAGTATTAATTTGGGGAACTAATAAATGTCCATGAAATCTTCACAATTTATGTTCTTCTGCCATGGCTTCAGCCGGTCCCTCTGTTCGGGGTCCCTGACTTCCCACAACACTGTTGGGCCCTCTTTCCCCTGTCTCCCGACTGCTGCCCTGGCAATATGGTTGTTCCCAGCATTGAAATTAGGCTTGGGTGTATGTTCTACTTCAGGACCCATTGATTGGCATAACAGTAGGCACATTTTAACCTCTTAGAATCAGTTTTCTCATCTTTAAAAGATCAGTAGGAACCATTTTAGTACTGCACAGGCTTTGAGACCAGACATTTGGTTCAATTTTGGCTTTGCTGTTTCCTAGCTGTATGCCCTTGAGATATGTTTTACTTCTCTGTTTCTCAATTTTTTCATTTGCAAAACAGCAGTGATAATACCACTTAACCTCCTAAGAGTTGTGAGGATGAAATGAGGTAATAAATGTAACATGCTTAGAGCAGCACCTGACTGCTGTGGCTTGGATCTGGAGACCTCGCCAAGTCTCATGTTGAAATTTGATCCCCAGTGTTGGAGCAGGGGCCTGCGGGGAGATGTTTGGATTATGGAGGTAGAGCTCTCCCCCATGGTGAATGACTTGGTACCATTCTCAAGGAAGTGAGTTCTCACTCTTAGTTCCCACGAAAACTGGTTGTTGAAAAGAGCCTGGGCTGGGCACAGTGGCTCACACCTGTAATCCCAGTATTTTGGGTGCTGAGATGGGCAGATTGCTTGAAGTCAGTAGACCAGTCTGGCCAACATGGTGAAAATTAGCCAGGCATGGTGGCAGGTGCCTGTAATCTCAGGTACTTGGGAGGCTGAGGCAGGAGAATCTCTTGAACCCAGGAGGCAGAGGTTGCTGAGATCGCGCCATTACACTCCAACCTGGGCAACAAGAGTGAAACTCCATGTCAAAAAAAAAAAAAAAAAAAACAATTAGCTAAGCGTGGTGGCATGCACCTGTAGTCCCAGCTATTTGGGAGGCTGAGGCAGGAGAACCACTTAAACCCAGGAGGTGGAGGTTGCAGTGAGCCGAGATCACGCCACAGTACTCCAGCCTGGGTGACACAGCAAGACTCTGTCTCAAAAAAATAAAGAAAAAAAAAAAAATCCTGGTGCCTCTGTCTTCTCTTGCTTTCTCTATCTTATCATGTAATGTCTGCACACCAGCTCCCTTCATCTTCAGACATGAGTGGAAGCATCCTGAGGTCTTTTTCAGATGCTGGTGCTGGCACGATGCTTCCTGTACATCCTGTAGAACCATGAGTCAAATACACCTCTTCTCTTTATAGATTAGCCAGCCTCAGGTATTCCTTTATAGAGGTGTATGGTATCTGTGTCACATTTTACCTGTGTGTGTAATTCTTCCTGATGGGAGAATTCAGGGGAGCCACTGTTGTCTTTTTTTTTTTTTTTCTTGCCTGGAGATAGATAGTCGCAGGAGAGGAGAAAGAAGCCACCAAGAACTGAACTGTTAGAAAATCCTGACCATGAGTTAATTCATCTATTTGTGTATGACTCCTTCCTCCTTTCTGTCTTTCAACAGACACTTAAAGGTCTGAATTGATATCCCAAAGAAGGGAACATCCTTTCCAGGGAACTTGTCAACGCCCTAAAAATGACCCTCAGAACAGGATTGTCAAGAGCCTTCCCTTTGTGCAGTAGATTCCTTCTTTCCTCCTTCTGAGGAGCTGGAATACAGTAGATGAGGCAGGGGCCTCCTCCTTTCTCTAAATATCTTATGTCTAGTTTCCTCTTGAGAGCTACAATTTAGCTTCACTGATTTCTTATATCTGAACCCAAGATGAAACCACCTTTGCTTACTCTTATTGTGAAGATGGACTGGATCTTCTGTTTTTAATAACTTTTTCTCAATCTCTCAAATCCTGCTACTTTATAATTCATAATGAAAGCTCCAGGTATGTTTCCTTAGTTAATTTTTATGAATGTTTTTGGCACTTGATAAATGTTTCTTTGTATCAGTGGAAAAGCATTAGGGACAGAATTCTGTTCTCCTAATTTATTATATTTCTCAATTGCATTCAGAAATGTATTGATCACAACTGCAATTTTGTTGAACTTGGTCTCATTTCATAAAACGAGGTCCATGTAATGAGATGTTGACAATTCTGAGGCCTGGCTCAACACCTCAGATTCCAATTAAAATGTCTAACAGTCTAGCTTGGATGGAGGTTGTAATTTGCATTTGGCTACTACATAAAAGAATCTGGACAGAAAAAGATCTTGTATTGTCTTTTTTGTTCTTTGTGTTTTTCCCTTCTTTAGTCAGGGAAGGCCTATGTTTCCCTGTCTTAGGGTTTCGCTGGGCCAAAAGCAGGTGCTGGTTCTCTTATGGAAGGCTGAAGCCGTACTGGGAAATTTAAATGTCCAGAGGATCTGAGCTGATTTTATAACATTTGAAGTCTCAGGGTATATGACTGTGGTGGAGAATTCCTTGCCAACGAGTAAGGATCTAACAAAATAAGTTTAAAACCAAAGGCCAAAGAAAAATTATCTAAGTTCATGTTCTTATGGCCTGTTTGCTTAAATCACATGGAGGGATCGATTATGCTGGGGAAAGTACAGAGAGGCAAGTATCTCTAAGGATGAGGTGGTTAATGACAGTATCAAGAAAAGGGCTTTCCAAAGGATAAGAAGAGGTACAGGACCAGGCATGGTGGCTCACGCCTGTAATCCCAGGATTTTGGGATGCCAAGGTGGGCAGGTCCTTTGAGGCCAGGAGTTCGAGACCAGCCTGGTCAACACGGTGAAACCCTGTCTCTACTAAAAATACAAAAATTAGCCAGGTGTGGTGGTGCCTGCCTATAATTCCAGCTACTCAGGAGGCTGAGGCAGGAAAATTGTGTGAACCCAGGAGGTGGAGGTTGCAGTGAGTTGAGATTGCGCTACTGCACTTTCATCTGGGTATCAGAGCAAGACTCTATCTCAAAAAAAAGAAGAAGAGGTACAGATTGGCAGGGTCTTGGCATGTGGCACAGGGTGGTTGAAAGATCTCATGGGAGGGAAGACCAGCTGATTGGTCATGGCAGACATTTCTACAATAGAGTCTTGGGCAACCACAGGACTTGGGGCTCTGCTGGAAACTAGAAAGTCTGAAGACCCAGGAGGCCTGTGCTTATGTTTTGTTGTTTCTTTTTTCACTTAGGACCTTTGTGAAATTCATTGAGGGAGCCACCATTATGATTTGAGATGAAATCTGCTGCCATATTGATAGGAGGAGGGCCTGGAATAAGCCTTAGTTTGGAATAAGATTTAGTTTGAATTAAAGACAGTAATACAAAGTGCCACTTCCTGCATGTTTGAATCAGTGGAGTAAAATTCATTCTTGCCGTGATTCTAGTAGTGAAAAATTGAAAATGATTTTTATGTTGAACAGTGAAGAATAGCTTAAATAAATTATGGCACATGCATACTATCATATGTAGACTTATATTGATTTGCAAAAATATCCTATAGTGTTATATGAAAAATTCAGATTATAGTATAGCCTATGTAGTTTGATCTCACTCTAATAAAACATAAGAATATGGGCATACATACATGTTTTCATAGAAATATGGGTAGAAAAAGTCTGGAAGTATATACATCAAAATTACTAGTTGTCTGTTATTGAAATTATGAGTGATATCTTGTTCTTATTTGTTAGATTTATTATTAATGAGTGGAATTACCTTATTAATTCTGAAAATAATAAAATATGTCCTAAAAACCTGAGGCCTGAAATGTATTGTTTTTTCTGTTCAGATGGTATTGCAGAAATATGAATAGAAGCAAGGCAGAGCAACTCCTCCGCAGTGAAGTAAGTGTTTGTACTTGTGGGTTTGGCTTAAGGGCAAATAAATTTTAATGAGTCCATAATAAGTAGTTCCACATATCTCTCTTTCTAAATTTGTTCAGCAGTGAGCAAGTCTATACAAAACTATTCCCAGAGGCTGAGGGAGCTCAGAGACTGAAGAAAGAGGCTGACAAATTCAGTTTCTAGAAAGAAATATTTAATAGGGACTTATAAACAGAAGTAATCATGGGTGGCCCTGTGGCCTCAGGGCAGTTATCCCCACACCTGCCCTCCAGAAAGTATTCTTTATATAGCAAACTTTTAGGGTAAAACGTGCAGCTGGACATGTCTTTAGCCTTTCTTACCAGCACATGTGACCACTGGTGAGGTTAGATAAGCATCTTTATGAAAGCATTGTTTAAACACCTTGCTGCAAACACCTTGGTAAGTGGGGATCGAGCACTGGTCATCACTGTGGTTTCACTTCAAGGTTACATCACTCTTGCCATGTAACAGGCTGTTTTCCTACTCGCTACCCCTTGAAACTGGCCCTTACAACTTCATATGCCCAAAGCCTTGGTAAAGTAACCAGTGTGGTTATTGTAGCAGTGGTTTCCCCAGTGTGTCCTGTTACAAAAGAAAACATAGCTTATTGAACTTATGCAAGAAACTATATTGCCACAAAATAAGAATACTCACAAATAGCTTCCAAATTTTGGAGAAATCAGGTAGAGAGAATAGTTAATGCCTCAGTTTGGCTCTCAAAATTATACTTCACTCAATTGCTGTAAGCTTTAAATAGTTCAGAACACACAAAAACACAGTTTCTTGACTCTTCTTCAGAGTAGCAGCCTTCCACACAGGTTGTTGTCCATTCACCTTGGAACCGCCATCCACAAACCAAGCAACTCTTGCTTGGTCAGTTGAGAGCTGTTTATTGGGCACTGTAGAATCCAGCAGCTACTCACACAGTTCCAGAGTCAGTCTTTGGGTTAGAGAGGCTCCCTGCTCATGAGTGTCTCCTCCTTGTACCCACCAAATAGTGTGATCCTGTATGAACCATTTCCATTTTATGATGGAACTCTTTTAGATACTGCTATCTCCATTAGAGTGTTCCTCTGACATCACCTGAGACAGCACGGATATTTCAGGTGTCAAGAGCATTTTATGTTCTTCAGTCGTAGATGTGGCTATAGTTAGCATCCATAGCAAGGCAGTAAATGCCCCTCTAGTAGAAGTTCTCTAGTCCAGAGTGCCAGTAGTTGTCACTGGGAGGTGCTAACTGGCTTTTACCATAAGACCTAGTAACACTCAACAAAAGACTATCAGGTAGAAAATTTGTCCCTACCAGCATTCCAACTTTCTCTACACTATGAGCTTGGACAGTCATACTGGCTCCCATTTATCACGTCCAATTAATATTGCTTGAAGGGCAGGTTTACATGCCCTCTGTTTTACAGTAGAAGAAACATTCCCCAGTCAAATACAATGTTCATTCCCATAAAACATTTAGATAAAGGAGACACAGCTACTTTACATAAAACCTGTTCAAACATTCCAACTTTCATAGTCTTATAAACCCTTATGTTTTTATGTTTTAGTCCTAGGAACTTCTCTTCTCTACCTCCAGAACATTTTACCCTCTGTTGTGCAGAAGGCTTTAGGTTCCCAGCAGGGGGTTGAGCCAAGGGACCCTGGCCCTTTTGTCAGTCTTTATCTTGATTAACCTGCTTCAGTTTTGCCCTGAAACAATTGTTGGTCAGCCTTATATCATTATAATCTCTGTCTTTTAGCTTTTTACGTTTCTGCAGACTGGAGATATAGCAAAGTAATTCTGGGCTCTTTAATGTTGGGGAACCAGCAGGGGCTCCTTTTGGTCCACACAACCTTCAGTAGTGTTGTATTAAGACCTTTGTTTTAATGCCATTAATTTCCATTTTATTCATTTGATTTTTTAATAACCATCTAAAGATTTCCTTCCTGCTGGGACAAGTTCTGTGACTTTCCTTTCTTTTTCTTCATTCTCTTTCTGCCCATTTAGTTTTATCTATATCATTTTTTCCTTCATTTTGAAACAACCTTTAAATAACCTCTGAACTAGAAAAAATGACTTTTTCTTAAGCAAAAGCTCTATCCTTTCTTTTATGTAGCCTTCTTCACCAAAAATTCATCTTACTTTCTTTATACACTCTGTATATAGCATTGTTTCTCTTACATCTAGTAGTTTTAATTATATACACTAACTACTATTGTAACTCTTAGTAGTTCTAATTTCCAGTAAAATATCTAGGAAGTGATTAATTTTAATTAAGCTCACATACAAGTCAAATAAGTGTCAAAAACGTCTCAGAAGCAGCAGTTTTATGACCTGAGGCAGAGACAACCTAAACCTGTCTGACTAGTAGATCTAGGCAAAATGTCTGAATTAAATTCTGAAGATGTTTCTATTTTATTTTACCAACAATTTAAAAACTAATTTCATTTACCGGATGTTTTCTTAGATCACATAGAAATGTCACACATATATAACACATATAGACATATAGGCATACAGGCACACAGGAGCAAAACTTACAGCTTTCATAAAGAATTGTCATTGCCACCTTTCAGATAGTTTTCATTTTCCTTTTGTTAGCACAGCATATCCTGTAGCAATTTATTTTTCATCCTGGAAGTAAAAATTGCTTTATCAAGTCCCATGAAAACCTGAGCATAGATGGCTTACCTCATTCTTAATTTTTAGAGAAGCCCCTGGGGCTTTCCACTAACCACCACAAGGTTGTCCCTCCTGGTAAATTTCCTTCATTAGGCCAAACCTCTGTCACAGCCAGAATGATCCAGGCCATAAGGCTACAATTCCCTTGTGTATGTATGCCTTGCATTATGAAGGCGTTGCTGCAGGGCTGGGTGGGTAGTAATGTCACTTATTTTTTTCTGCTTCATTCCTGGCTAGGGAAATATCATCACCCACTGTGTCCCGCAGTTAGACCATCCAAGCAGCCAGGGGTTCCCTAGGTAGTTGTTGCTTTTTATTTTTATTTTTTTTTAACTCATTTATGCTGGAGGTTGCAAATTTTTTGTGTGTGAAAAATCAGACCTTTGATGACTTTGAGCCATAGGATGTAAATAACGCCCACAAGCTTAGTGTTCCAATAATGGAACTCTAGGCATAAATGGATTAAAGCCTAATCAAGTGAAGCGGTGGGAGTAGAGAAGGAAAAAGGAAATCTGCAACTGTTTGTTATCAATTAGTAACAAACACTACTGTTCTAGGACCAGCCAGTAGTTGGTTAAAGGTCTTTGCAGTCTCTGAGTTCTGCAGCAGTGTATTCCCTGGCAGGGAGAGTCTCCTGTAGTGGCCCATCCTCATTTTGCTGCAGTTGTTGCACTTTCACTTTCCTTAGCATGAGGGGCAAGCTTACTCTAATGCTTTCTTCCTGATTGATCATTTGCTGTCTTGACTTTTAGTACTTAAGTATTTGTTTGGTTTTTTTTTTTTTTTGGCTCGAAGTTAGTTATTTTAAAATAGTTTACATTGATACTACATAATGTCTTTTATAAATAAAGCATTAATAGATGTTTAATTCCATTTAGAAATAAATGTGCTGAAATTGCTATACCTTTAAAAAGAAATAAAATGAAAGAGTAAAATGTATAGAGGGAACTACCCTGTGCTGAGTAATGGGACCTGGGTCTCCCTGTGACTTTTCTAGCCTACTTTTCACATCTGTAAGAGAAGGAGTTGGACTAGAAGATGATCTCTACAATTCTCTGCATTTCTGATCTAGTTTTCTATTTAGCTATTGTTCCCAGTCTTTTAAACTCATGTTTTCTCATTTTACCTCCTGCTTAGTATCATGCATCAAGATTTTGTTGAGTGCTTGTTTTTGTAGTTGATGTTAAAAAAACAATAGTAGGTGACTTTGGTTAATTCTGACTACACATAACCATGCCCACAGGATTCTTCCATGCCTCTCTGGAGACCCCACAGTGAGAGGCAGATGTAGCGGAGTGAGTAGCTAAATGGCAGCCTGGGGACCAGATCCTGCCTCTACTGCTTACTAGCTGTGTGACCTGGTGCAAATTTCCCAGCCAGTCTTTCTGTTTGTCATTTCCTTACCTGCAAAGTAACGTGGGGATAACAATAGTACCTATGTAATAGGACTGTTTTGATGATTAAATAAATTGATATGCTAGAACATTAGAACAGAATAAATTTTCAATAAATAAATGTGTTTGTTTATTTGTTTGTTTGTTTGTTTATTTATTTATATTATTTAAGATAGTTTCTCTCTCTCTGTCTCCCAGACTAGAGTGCAGTGGTGTGATCTTGGCTTACTGCAGCCTCTGTCTCCTGGGTTCAAGCGATTCTCCTGCCTCAGCCTCCCAAGTAGCTGAGATTACAAGCATGCACCACTATGCCCGGCTAATTTTTAGTAAAGATGGGATATTTTTAGTAGAGATGGGGTTTTGCCATTTTGGCCAGGCTGGTCTTGAACTCCCGACCTCAACTGATCTGCCTGCCTCAGCCTCCCAAGGTACTGGGATTGCAGGCATGAGCCACCGTGCCCAGCCTCTGTTATACTTTTTACTGATCGATTATTACAATTATTATCCCTAATTGTTATCAGGTATTTTTGTGGGGCCTTATTTAATTCCATTGTTTTTCCTATGAAGAAGAGTACAATTTGTTTTATTTTTCAACTAATAAAGGACACACTTTTCATCTTAAAGCAATTTAAATACTAGAGATTGATGGTAGTGTTACTGGACAGAGAGGTATTTGAGGTTTGTAGGGTCTATTTCTTGCTTTTCAGCTTGGAACCTGAGAAAGATTTGACCTTTAGTCTTTTAGCATTGTTTCCAACTCTTGATTTTCTCTGCTTAAGTTACTTGTGCCTCCATCTCTCCTTTTGTAAAGGCTGATATTTGGCTGGGTATGTTGGCTCATGCCTGTAATCCCAGCACTTTCGGAGATCAAGGAGGGTGGATCACTGGAGGTCAGAGGTTCAAAACCAAGCTGGCCAACATGGTGAAACCCCATCTCTACTAAAAATATAAAAACTAGCTGGACATGGTGGTGCACGCCTATAGTCCCAGCTACTCGGGAGGCTGAGGCGGGAGAATTCTTTGAACCCAGGAGGTGGAGGCTGCAGTGAGCCAAGATCGTGCCACTGCACTCCAGCCAGCCTGGGCAACAGTGCGAGACTCTGTCTCAAAAAAAAAGACTGATATTTAACTTCAACTTCTAGAGAATTAAGAATTTTTAAATTTATTCTTATAAAAAGCACTGAGACATTTATAGGAAAATTCAGTGTGAATTGAAAATCATACTGAGTCAAGAATCAAAGCTTATAACAAATACAAAAAATGTATGAAATGAAACTCAATCATTAAGAAATATATTTTTCCATGACAGTTTTCCTACATGTCCAGGCCTTACAGGAATTGCAAAATCTTGTCTCTCAGTTCTGGAAGGGCACTGAGAGATTGTTTGATTGAAATGTCTCGCCATTTGTGAGGATTTGTGATTGTGGGGAATTGAGTGCAATTTCTTTAACTACTCTCCTAGCGCAGTAATTTGAAGTACAAAGTCATGTGGGTGGGAGAAACCAAGGGGCCCTATTGGTAAGTTGTGCTTCTTCAAAGCAGATTTTCTGGGAAAGAATAATAATTATAAAATTATAATATTAGGTTCTTCAGTATTCTCCATGGCGATGCTATTAGTAATTGGAATAAAACAATTTTTTTCTGAACTTGGATTTTAGGATAAAGAAGGTGGTTTTATGGTAAGGGATTCCAGTCAACCAGGCTTGTACACAGTCTCCCTTTATACCAAGTTTGGAGGGTGAGTAATCCTGCCTTTTTTTTTTTTTTTTTTTTTATAATTTAGAGTTTTTGCATAAACTTCCCATGTAGTTTATATGGATTCCTAATTTTCATAAAAATATGCAGCATTTCACTATTAAAAAGAAAACCTGAACTTGATTTCTGAAGTGTATATACTGTTTTTTGTATTTGTATTTTCAGTAATTTTCCCTATAGTTTTTCATATGTATTTGTTGAGTATGGCTATAATAACTTTAGTAACATTCAACAAACATTTATAGTGAACGGTGCTGGTCACTAAGGATAAAATCATGAGCAAAGGATGCAGAGACCCTGCCCACCAGTAGGTTAGTAGATGCTACAGCCCAGTAACAGACAGTGATGGTAGTAAGTGCCATGTGGGAGGGTAATGTGTGTGTGTGGTGGGTTTGGGGGTGGGGGATGGTAAACAGCCTAGGCACATCTTGAGTTAGTCATGAACGCTCTCCCAAATGACATCCAGGCTGAGACCTGAGAGGTGAGCAGGAAAAACTCAGAGGGAGGGGACGGAGTGTTTCTCACCAGGAAATTGCCTGGACCTAGAGGGGAGAGAGGATGTGGTGAGTTCAAGTCACTGAAAAGTATGTTGTAGCTGTGTGGTAGAATGGGAGCAGAGTGAAGGGAGGAGAGAGAAGCCTGAGAGTTGAAGCAGAGGCAAGTTCATGTCAATGTCAATAAGTCTGAGCTTTACCCTAAGAGCAACAGGAGTCATCTTGAAAGCATTTTTAGCAAGAGAGGACTGGAGAAGATCTCTGCTCTAGAAAGGTACCTAAAGTTGAATGTTTAAAAGTCTAATTTATTCGCTATTGGCGATTTAAGTATTCTAGACATTTGTAAGTTTATGCAACAGCAGGAACAAAAAGCAGTAGCTGCTAATAGCTACGTTAAGACTTCCAGCTGTTGGTAAGTGGAATTCATAAATGTTCTCTTTCCAAATCTCATGCAAAGGACCATGTGTGTTTTCAGTGAGTACTTTAAAAACTTTGACATGCTAATATGAAAGACGAAGCTAAGAAGAAAGTAGGGGAAGTAAAATTCGTGCCAGGAATAGAGGGAATCATATGGATAGATGCTGTGGTTGCCCTTGTAGAAAACACCTTAAGAATGAAGTTCTATTATTTCAACTTGGTTCTGACACATTTTGATTTTTGTTCTAGAGAAGGTTCATCGGGTTTCAGGCATTATCATATAAAGGAAACAACAACATCTCCAAAGAAGTATTACCTAGCTGAAAAACATGCTTTTGGCTCAATTCCTGAGATTATTGAATATCATAAGCACAATGCAGCAGGTAAGTGAGCTGTGAAAACTTACTTCAAATATAAGGTTGTGATTAAAATGATCAGATACTGTGATTAATTCCTTGAGCAGTTTTATTTTATAGTTAGTTCATTGTAGAATGTGGTTGATTTAAAATTACTGCATATTAAAGGAATAATATATACAAAGAATAATTAGAAATAATACCAAGTTTTATAAAAAGCTCTGTCTTGACCTTAGGACATGAGTTATTCCATTGGTATATAGCAAATATTCACATTACATTTATACACTGTTGGTGGGAGTATAAATTAGTTCCGCCATTGTGGAAGACAGTAAGGCAGAAACACCATTCAACCCAGCAGTCCCATTACTGGGTGTGTACCCAAAGGAATATAAATCATTCTATTATAAAGACACATGCATGTGGGTGTTCATTGCAGCACTGTTCATAATAGCAAAGACATGGAATCAACCTAAATGTCCATCAGTGATAGACAGGATAAAGAAAATCTGGTACATATACACCATGGAATCTGTGAAGCCATCAAAGAAGAATGGGATCATGTCCTTTGCAGGGAGGCCATTATCCTTAGCAAACTAACACAGGAACAGAAAACCAAATACCACATGGTCTCTCTTGTAAGTGGAAGCTAAACAATAAGAATACATGGTCACACAGAGGGGAACAACACACACTGGAGTCTTTTGTAGGGTAGAGGTTGGGAGGACGGAGAGGATCAGGAAAAACAACTTATGGGTACTAGGCTTAATACCTGGGTAATGAAATAATCTGTATGGCAAACCCCCATGACACAAGTTTACCCATGTAACAAACTTGCACTTATAACCCTGAACTTAAAAGTTAAAAAAAGTTCACATTTATGTGGTATATATGTCCTTGATACTAACGTCCAAGATATGTCTATTTCAGAATAGTCACAGAAGATGCCAGATAAACCAGGATTCAGTCCTATGCTGTAGGTTTCCAGAGAGTAGAGTAATCATATCCTACAAGTTAACCATCTTCTTGAATCTCTGGTACACTACCACCAGAGTGGGAACAAACTGAATACCAAAAAATAACAGAAACGAAACGACATTTATGAAAATTAAAGTTCCACAGGATTATATAGAAAGATTTCCAGCCTTTGACTTTAAAAATGTAACTGGGCAGGGATAGCCAAGTGCTTCACCCAACTTATGAAAAATTTTGAAATTTTATTGAAGGCACCCTTTGCAAAGCCTGCTATTTTGTGACTGTTCACTTTTTTTTCAGGTAATAATAATTGTTATTTAGATAAAATTTATATGCTATAAAGCCCACCCATTTAAAGTATACAATTCAGTGGTTTTTAGCATATTTACAGAGTTGTGCCAACTATCAGCATAATCTAAATTTTTTTTTAAAGAACGTTGTCATCATCCCAAGAAGAAGTTTTGTATCAAATAATTGTCACCCCATCCCCCTTCACCAGCCCAGCCCCAGGCAACCATTAACATACTTTTTGTCTCCCTTATAGATTTGCCTATTCTGGACATTTCATATAAATGGAATTATAGAATATGTGGTCTTCCGTGACTAGCTTCACTGACTTAACGTAACTGTTGTTGACGTTGTCATGTTGTAGTATGTAGATGCACTCCATTCCCTTTTTTAAAAACATACATCACGAGTTTACTGAAATAATCAGATAATATAAACAAAATGAACAGAGCTTGACACATAGTAATTGCACAATAACTTCTACTTATTATTGAGTCACAACCCAGAGCCTAACACAATATTTGTGGAATGCTTAGGTTCTCAGGCCAGCATACAAGTCTACATTTAACTCTTAAGTAAAATAACAGTTTCAAATTGAGTATAATAATGCTCAATGTTGAGACGGGATCAACCCCTCTATCTTCAAATATAGGGGGAATATCTTACCATCCACCTATTGTGTTAGAAATTCATGCTTCATCTACTTATGGAAGCCAAGACACAGCCTAGATATGTAAAAACTATAGGTAAAATGAGGTTAAGGAAAAAATTTGCTGACAATATCACTAGGAATTCTAGACAATGTAAATTGACATTAATGTTTATTGCTGTGATGGACTTCCTGAACACATTGTTAGAAATTGGTTTGTGGCCAGGTATAAAAATAATAATTCATTGTATGGATTTTGTTTATTATTCATCAGTTGATGGACATTTGGGTTGTTTCCACATTAGTTCTCTTATGAATAATGCTTCTGTAAACACCTGTACACCAGTTTTTGCGTGGAAATATGTTTTCATTTCTTTTGGGTATTTACCTAGTTATGGATATGCTGCGTCATATGGTAACTCTGTGTTTAACATTTGAGGAACTGATTTTGTATCAATTTATATCTCATTCTGTTGTTTTCTTTTTTGGTGTTTTTGCTCCCTAATTTTTTCTTCCGTATTCCTGTATAAGTTTTATTCTTCACTGTCATCTCAATTCATTCAACAAACATGTATCAAGTGCCTACTGCATGCCAGAAACAGAGCCAGACTTTGGGGAGACTGTGGTGGACTAGGTGTAGTAACTGATCCTGATTTTCCGAGACCCTACCACTTGCGGGGAGACAGAGAAGTACATAATGATTTTAAATTGCTTTGAGATATCTTGTAGTAGAGGAAATACAGAGTGCTATGGGTGTTTTTGGAAGAGACACCTCCTGTTTCTTATTTAGTGCTGTATGCAACTTGGGTTAAAAGATACACACTGATTTCCAGTAGTTGGTATTCCGAATTGTTGCTATCTTAGAGCCCGATTTTTATGCTAAGATTGCTAATACTGAGTCATGTCAGGTGAATAACTTTCATTTTTAGCAGACTAATATAATTCCCTTTCATAGTTCAGCTCTCATATTGGAAAAGAACGTGAAATAACTGTTAGAAACCTTTTAACATCCTTTAAAATATTTGGAAAAAGAGAAAGTTACCATGGTGCCTGTTAAACACTGTAGTATTTAAAAGAAAATGTTTGTTGAATGAATAAAAGCATATAGCACAGTGCTGTATGTACACACAGAGGATGCGCAGTAAATGAATAAATGATGAATTTTATAAGTGAGTTTCCTGTAGCATGTGACCAAGCAGAATGATTATGAATGAGTTTGACTGCAACGCTTTCTTTGATTATTAGGACTTGTCACCCGGCTTCGGTACCCAGTTAGTGTGAAAGGGAAGAATGCACCCACCACTGCAGGATTCAGTTATGGTAACTCTTATTTTGTGGTTGCGTGAGCTGATTTTCCTTGAAAAGAATCCATTGTCATAAGATAAATTTGGATGTGTACTATTTCACATACTGGAATTGTTTTCATAAGTTTATAGTATGGGTTTTTAGGTAATTATACTTAAGACCGTAGCAGCCTAGGTATTATATTTTCATCATTATTCATAATTCCATAGAAAACTTTCTGTCAGTAAAAAAATAAGCATTATCATGTTAACATCTAAAATAAATCAAAGCCCTTCCTGGTTCTCACCAGCTTTATTGCTTACAAGAACGTGAGTAAGGATGAAGGTAAGAAAGAAAGCTTCCAACTTAATTGTCTTTGTCGCTTCTGACAAAAGCCTTTAAAACAGCAGATTACATTATTTCCAACTTGATGGAATTGAAAAAGAAAAAAAAAAAAAACAACAAACCTGAGAAGGGAGAGTGTAAAGAAGGAAGTGTTTGTTTGACAAAAATACCTTTAACTTTCAGGCTATATTATTATTATTATTATTTGTGCAGAATTGTCTCGCCTTCTTCATTTCACATTGGTTAGAAGGGATTCATCCTCCCCACCTTTGGCAGTTCAGATGCAGGTTTCAAGTCTCTTCTGTGTTTTACCAGGAATTATTACAGTGTTATCCTGTAATTTTGAGGTTGATCTTGGTTATAGGTTCTTTTTCCCCTCTCTGATTCATGCTATGTTTTCCTTTTTAAATATGAACATTTTCCCCTTCTGTCATGCAGAGAAGTGGGAGATTAACCCTTCAGAACTGACCTTTATGAGGGAATTGGGAAGTGGACTGTTTGGAGTGGTGAGGCTTGGCAAATGGCGAGCCCAGTACAAAGTCGCAATCAAAGCTATTCGGGAAGGTGCCATGTGCGAGGAGGACTTTATAGAAGAAGCTAAAGTGATGATGTAAGTGGTGATCATCTTTCTGGCTCACCTTTTTGTATTAAAAAGTGGCCCCTCACCAAAAACTTGGTAGTTTCTTTTCCTATAGTAACTATATATGTGTATGTCTTCCTTTCCAGGAAACTGACACACCCGAAGTTAGTGCAGCTTTATGGTGTATGCACCCAGCAGAAACCAATATACATTGTTACCGAGTTCATGGAAAGGGGCTGCCTTCTGAATTTCCTCCGACAGAGACAAGGTCATTTCAGTAGAGACGTGCTGCTGAGCATGTGTCAGGATGTGTGTGAAGGGATGGAGTATCTGGAGAGAAACAGCTTCATCCACAGAGATCTGGTAACCCTAGCTGCCCACATTCCCACTCATTGGCTGAATTCCTTTGTAACACTGACTCAGCAAATGTGCAATGATGTGTTAATAGCCAATTTTTGTTCTTAACAATCTTTCACCATTATTTTTAAAGTTGGTAAATTTAACTTGCCCTGTAATTTTAAAGGAAAGATCTTTATTCAGTCTAATTATTTACCTAGTTAATATCTCCAAGCAAGTTTCCATGTTTTAATTTTTTGATCTCAATAAGAATCCCATGAGATAGCTACTCACAGTGGATTCTCTTACCATCACTCTTGTACAGATGAGAAAATTAGCTTCAGGGAAGTGAAATGGCTTGCCTCCTGTGATAAGTAGGGAAGTTGCGGTGGGCCTTAACTTTCTAACTAGATCCCAAGTTCTTTTCCACCTCATACGCTATAAACAGAAACTATAAGAGAAATCCTTTGGATTTTTAAAAAAATCTCTCAAATCACTGGGAAAACATGGAGGTTCATGTTAACTTCTCAAAATACCAGAAAAAAAAAGTCTGTTACCAGTTCTAAATTATTGTGATGGAGACAATTTTTCCCTTCTCACCTGTTCTCACTCTCTCCTCCATTCTTCTTTTCCTTCTGTTTTTCTTCTCTACCTGTTCTTTACAAATGCTTTCAGCATATTAGCAGCAGTGTCTGTCCCCTGAAAATAATCAGCTGAAAATGCTTGCTTTCAGCATATCAGTAGCACTGTCTGTCCCCTGAAAGAAAATAATTCTTTCACCAAGAAGAGTGTAATTTTCATTTGGGACTTCCTCCCATATTTTAGTTTTAGCTTTCTAGTGATAAAGCATGGACACATTTTTTTAGAAAGCAGAAAAACCTAAAAAAATTTTTTTTTTCCTTTGAGACAGGATCTCACTTTGTCTTTCAGGCTGGAGTGCAGTGGCGTAATCTTGGCCCACTGCAGCCTCAACCTCCCGGGTTCAAGCAATCCTCCTGCCTCAGCCCCCAAGTAGCTGAGACTATAGGCATGTGCCACCATGCCTGGCTAATTTTTGTAGAGATGGGGTTTCGCTGTGTTGCTCAGACTGGTCTCAAACTCAAGCGATCTGCTCAAGCGATCTGCCTGCCTCAGCCTCCCACGTGCTAGGATTACAGGTGTGAGCCTCTGCGCCCAGCCTTAGCAAAACATTTTTTAAAGTTAGCAGTCGCCTTAGACAGACATTGTTCTGACAAGTATTTTACAAATAAACTCGTTTAATCATAATTCTGGGAAGTAGATTTTCTTATTATTCCCTTTTTACAGATGAGGAAACTGAGGTGCAAATAGGATAAAATAACTTACCAATGGACAAGTGAATTGTAGAGCCAGGATTTGAACCCACGCAGCTTGGCTCTAGGGTCCCTACCTAACTACTATGCTATGCTCTCTAGAATTAAAGCATATTAGAGAGTTGAAGATTTGGAGATGGAACACTTGATTTCCTAGGTGTGTTTTGGGATACTTACCTTATCTTAGATTCAGTTTCGGTGTCTGTAAATTGTGGGTTATAATGTTGTTTGGCTTCCAAGACTGTCTTAAAGATCACATTATTTGACTGGGGCAAAGGGCTTTGTAAAATATACATGCTATAGATAGCATCAGTTATTGTTATCATTATGTCAGGGATGACGAAGAACATCTCTGTCAATTGAAACTCGTAAACTAAGAAACTTTGTCTGTTTTGTCCTTACAAAACTGATAAAAACTGAATATCTACATCGGTGTGGCAGATTACACCTTCCAGACAGATGATATTTTGGCAAAAACGATTCTCATATTTCTGTGCCTATGATATTGGTATTACTATGGTAGGTTTGTGTCACCCCTTATGGGAAACTTCGGATGCTCTTGTCTTCTTGGTAAAGAATCCTGTTGACCATCCAGCGCAGGCATTATGGAGTTGTGAAGCGTTTTTGTAGGAAGATGCAGGCAGTCCAGGGAATGGGCATTAACTCTCATTTTATAAGAGACTTTTTTTTTTTTTTTTTTTTTTTTTTTTTTTGAGACGGAGTCTCACTCGCCCAGGCTGGAGTGCAGTGGCGTGATCTCGACTCACTGCAAGCTCTGCCTCCCGGGTTCACGCCATTCTCCTGCCTCAGCCTCCCTAGTAGCTGGGACTACAGGCACCTGCCACCATGCCCAGCTAATTTTTTTTGTATTTTTAGCAGAGATGGGGTTTCACTGTGTTAGCCAGGATGGTCTTGATCTCTTGACCTCGTGATCCGCCTGCCTCGGCCTCTCAAAGTGCTGGGCGTGAACCACCATGCCCAGCCTATGAGACTCTTAAAATGCACTCAGCAAGAAGGAACCTCATAGTGCAATTGCCGCATAGAGAAAATAGAATTATGAACAGTCAGGAAGAAAGAAAAACACACCTTCGTCTATGGGTTATGGTATTAAAATATTATTGGCCTGGTGTGGTGGCTCACGCTTATAATCCCAACACTTTGGGAGGCCGAGGCGGGCAGATCACGAGGTGAAGAGATCAAGACCATCCTGGCGAACATGATGAAACCCTGTCTCTACTAAAAATACAAAAAACAGCCTGGTGTGGTGGCGGCCGCCTGTAGTCCCGGCTACTTGGGAGGCTGAGGCAGAAGAATCACTTGAACCCGGGAGGCGGATGTTGCAGTGAGCCGAGATGGCACCACTGGACTCTAGCCTGGTGACAGAGCAAGACTTGGTCTCAAAAAAAAAAAAAAAAAAAAAAAAGTCATCATGTCTTCCTTCTGAGAAATACCATGTCTTTCTGTCAAGCTATTTTCTTGAACCTTGTAACCTTGAAGAATGTGCAAGAAAATATAAATTAAATAATCCACAATTGTATTTGACCAATCTTGTACATCATGTTATAATATACTGGGAACATAAATGAAAAAGCGAACTGTATTCACACGTAGCTGTTCTTTTGGAGACCGAGTCTTGCTCTGTCGCCCAGGTTAGAGTGCAGTGGCGTGATCTCTGCTCATTGTAACGTCCGCCTCCCAGGTTCAAGCAATTCTGCCTCCAGTCCCAGGTAGCTGGGGCTATAGTTGTGTGCCACTACACTTGGCAAATTTTTTTGTATTTTTAGTAGAGACGGGGTTTTGTCATGTTGGCCAGGCTGGTCTCAAACTCCTGACCTCTAGTTTTCCACCCGCCTCAGCCTCCCAAAATGTTGGGATTACAGGCGTGAGCCACTGCACCCAGCCTGTTCTTTGACTGGGATGAGATGACCAATCACTGAGCAGAAATATTGGATAAGAGATTGGTCACCCATCATTGTGAGAACTGGATTAAGGACTTCAAGAGATGTTCTCATTGTCAGTAAGAAAATTGGATAGTTTAATAAGAACAGGTCTGGGAGGGAGAAAAGTGAGTTGACTCTTCTATTAGCCCTTGTTTAAGAATGACAGTTGGCCAGTGTGGTGGCTCACACCTATAATCCTAACACTGGGGGAGGCTGAGGCAGATGGATGAGGGCAGGAGTTCAAGACTAGCCTGGCCACAATGGTAAAACCCCGTCTCTACTAAAAATACAGTAATTAGCTGGGTGTGATGATAGGTGCCTGTAATCCCAGCTATTCTGGAGGCTGGGGCAGAAGAATCACTTGAACCTGGGAGGTGGAGGTTGCAGTGAGCCAAGATTGCGCCACTGCACTCCAGCCTGGGCGACAGAGGCAGACCCTGTCTCAAAAAAAGAAAAAAAAAAAGACAATTGGTAAAGATTATGCAATAATGCCTTATTGCAATATGACTTTCTGACCTGCCTTTCTATTCATTTTTTCACAATGGAAATACACAATGGAAATACTTCCATAGGGGTAAAAACAACTTATTAAAGGACATTTCCACTCTCTGCAAATGTTGACTAGGTTACACTAAATTTAATATGAACAGAACTTATATTTTCCTACTGAAATGGTGGAATTTTTAAACTAATATACCATCATAATGTTGTTTTTCAGGCTGCCAGAAATTGTCTAGTAAGTGAGGCGGGAGTTGTAAAAGTATCTGATTTTGGAATGGCCAGGTATGTCCAAGTATATGTGGTTTTAGGTGATGTTTGCATTTTTTTGGTGGAATTAATAAGTGTGGGAATAATTTGCAATGACGAAGCAGAAAGGAAATCTTGTTAACTGGTTCTCAGATTAAAATAAGTATTTATTGTGATGTTAGTAGTTCTCTCCACTAGGTGGTAGTATAGCCTGTTAAATATACTATATTTCCTGGTGTGGATTAGATTTCTAGAATCTTTTGTTTTCACAAAAACGTATTTGGTGGTGAGGTTCTTAGTATGTCCATGTCTGCAGTGTTTTTCTTCTCTTAATTTTTATAATTTAATAGTATTATAAAATACCTTTAAAAGGTATTTAGTTTATTTTTTGTCGCTTCTTCCTCTGTCTGTCTATTGATTCGTCCATACATCCACCCATTAAAAATCAGGTGCCTGCTGCGCGCCAGGCATAATGATAGGCTGAACCATATTAGAGAATAAGACCTACAAGTCCTTGCCCACACGCAGCTTACATTCAGGAAGAAAGTGAATCAGAAGACCTGATAAAGTTACATGATTGAGCAGGGTCGATACTGGTAAACTGTGGCTCTCAGTCCGACCCACACTTCATTTGGGTTTCACATTTTTAAATGGATGCAAAAATGAAAAGAATATTATGACATGTAAAAAAAATCTGAAACTCCAATGTCACTGTCCATAAAAATAGCGTGACTGAGACATAGCCTCGCTCATTCATTTAGGTGTTACCTGTGACTGCTTTCCCGCTACAGATGCAGAGTCGAGTAGCTGTCTTGGGGACCGTATGCCTGCAGATCTGAAATATGTGTTATCTGGCCCTTTACAGAAAAGTTGACTGATCCCTGTAATACAGATAATTTGAGGTGGTGCCGAGTGACAATGCAGGGCAAGAGTGAGGGTGGCTACTCAATCTGATGTTCAGGACAACCTCTTTGCGATAGGGAGATTTGTTTGGAGACAAGAAGGTAGGAAGTAGCCAGTATAGGTGAAAATAAAAGGATAAAATATTTCAGGTAGGAAGAAAAAGTGAAAAGCTTGAAGTCTGGGACACGTCTGGCCTGCTCAAGGAATGGAAAAAGCGCTAGGGTAGCTGGCCAACGGGCAGCGCCAGGAATGCTTATAAATGCAGGCAAGGACCAGGCCATGTAGGGCCAGGTTTAACTCCTAAGGAAACTCAGGCCCAGGGAGATTAGAAAACTGTTACTGTCAGAAATGGGACCAGAACTTCCAACTCTTAGGATATTAATTACCCAGTGCTCTTTATTTGCTTTTATATAAAGATACTATATATTTGGCAGGCTGTCAGCCACTTTCATATGTTCAATCTTCATATGTTAGGCTTTCAGAAAATCTGCACTTTTGTATCAACCACTCAAAAACGCTCTTTATACCCTAAAGTCAGACTCCCCTGGCTGACAGTTTGATCCAGCCCATAGTGGCATTGTCTGCCAGCCAGCAGCTGGCTTTGTGCTGAGTCATCATCTTTGTCTACAGAGCAAAGGACGTTTGTGCAATTCTTTGAAAATTTTCTCATGAAAGCTTTTAGAAATTAATGGTATATTCACATATAATACAGAAATACATTCCTTTTGTAAATATGTGCTGCCCACCTTACAGAAAGGGCTGAAATCTTTTCATCTACCAACCCTAATCAAGGATTCTCCCCCAAAGTTAGCCACTGTTAACAGTTTTTGTATGTTCTTCCAGAAGGACATAGTATGTTCACATAAAAAAGTTATGGAAAAAAAAATAATAATTAAAAAAAAGAAAAAAAAGTTATATAGTATTGTTTTGAGTGCATGTATGTATGTGGGGATGTTATGTATAAATGCATACTCCACTGTTTACATGTGGCATTTTGTGTTGTGTTTTTGTTTGTTTTTTGCATTTGCCATTTTCATATGCTATAGTTTTAAATTGTGCTCTGTGGAATTGTGAGGGCTGAAAGCATGTGTGTTTCTAGATGCTTTATACCACTTCCTCTGGAGCAGCTCTGCTTTAGATTTTTTACATATGGGGCCTGTGGGTAAAATTTTATTTAAAGAACAGAATTGCTTACAAAGAAAAGCTTGCAAAGTATTTTATGATACATTGTCTCTATTGCCTTATAAAAAGAAAGAAAAACAGAAAAATCAAAGTGCAGATGGTAATGTGGTGATGCATCCATCTCACGCACTTAAATTAAGCTGAGAGGAAGTTGGAAATCACCAGGTGTGGCCACTGAGGTGAACATTTAGCTTCAACCGGATGCTTGTTGGACTTCAGTCAACTGTGTTTTTGATTGCAAGGGGAAAAAAATGAAAGAATAAGTAGAAAATGCAGATTTTTCTTCAGAGGTGTAAGCTCATGGTGTGTCTTACTCTAGGTATGTTCTGGATGATCAGTATACAAGTTCTTCTGGTGCTAAGTTTCCTGTGAAGTGGTGTCCACCTGAAGTGTTTAATTATAGCCGCTTCAGCAGCAAATCAGATGTCTGGTCATTTGGTAAGATCCATGGTCCATGTTTCCTCATGTCCGTCCGCCCTGAGGAGGAAGTGGATACATCCATTTGGTAATCCTTATTCTTTTCCAGGTGTTTTAATGTGGGAAGTATTCACAGAAGGCAGAATGCCCTTTGAAAAATATACCAATTATGAAGTGGTAACCATGGTTACTGGAGGCCACCGACTCTACCAGCCGAAGTTGGCATCCAACTATGTATATGAAGTGATGCTGAGATGTTGGCAGGAGGTATAGATTTTTTGTGGGCTTTCTTTTTGAATCGTTTAGGGATTGGGCTTGGTAAATAGACAACATGCAGTCTTTATAGCCTAGTGAGGTGGTGCGTGCTTTATAGTGATTTCAAGCTCTAGGTAGGAAGCCAACCCTCTCAACTCAAATTCTGAATAACGGGAAGAAGAATGTAAAGATGTGGAAAATGCTAATAACTACCTCGATACATTCAGGCTGCTTCCTCACTCGCAAGTGGGACTCCTTCCATAGTTGCCTGAGCTAGGGACTTGGGGAATACACCTGGAGAAGTAGCTCTTTTTTCACTGGGTCACTTGTAGAGTTGAAATATTATTTTTTTTACCAGAGTTGGTTTCTTTCTCTAAACCTCAACTTTGCGAGGTCTTTGGAAGTATTGAAATGTCACCTCCTAAAAGAGGTTAGATACCAAATGACTTCTGAAAGACAGTAACATTAGCTCACATGTATTATGTACCAAGCACTATACTTAGTGTTTTGGATTTAGTTCTCAAAACAACACTTTGAGGTGGAGACACTTTGTGCCACTCTGTAGATGAGCAGATTAAGGGTCATGAGGTTGCTGCTTGCCTGGGGTCACTTAACTACAGAGCAGTATAGGCCTGTCTGACTCCAAAGTCCAGGGTCTCAACCACTGGCTGTACTGCCTCCCCAAGAGTTGATTGGGATGGGCATAGACATTCTGGGCAGGAAGTGGTGCTAAAGGGAGAGAGAACAGCTTGAGCAAAGGTAAGGAGGTGGTTATAAACACAATGTTTGTGCACGACAGTGGAGATAGTGGCCCTATTTAACAGACAGCCCATGTGAGGGATTTTGTGGGGAATAAAATTGGGTGACAAGAGGGTGGGGGAGTGGCAGATTATAGAGGGTCCTATAAATTTGCAGGACTTGATTTCACAGGCATGTCTCTTGAAGAGAGACATGAAAGCAGTGTCTTAGAAAGGTTAGCCTAGCAGCAGTACATGCAGGGTAGATTAGGGTAGAGACAAGACCCCTCTGGAGATGCCTGTATGTCCCAGTCCCAAAGCAGTGAAGCCTCTCTGTAATATGCTATGTTTAGGAGTTGGAGCAGTGAGAGGTTTTTTGGAATGGATTCTGGAACCTACAGCTTCTCTTTGACTTTTAATTGTAGAAACCAGAGGGAAGGCCTTCTTTTGAAGATCTGCTGCGCACAATAGATGAACTAGTTGAATGTGAAGAAACTTTTGGAAGATAAGTGATGTAACCAGTGGCTCCCAGATTCCAAAGTGCAAGGAAGGATGGGCACTTTGTGGCTTTTAATTTATTGAGCACTTGGACATGTAGATGGTTTTACTTGTAAAGTGGAAACACATAAAGAATGTGCTTCTAGACGGAATCTCCCAGAGTGTTTCCACTTAGAAACACTTTGTTGCCTTAGAAATGGTGATTAAAATCACTCATTTCTATTCATTCCTCAGGCACTTGAGTGACAGTTGTTTACCAGGCACTGTGTATAGCCCCAGGGTTTGGCCATTTAGGGGTGCACACATGGGACCATGTTAGCTGATGCCAGTTGAAGGCCAGGGTATTTGGGAAGGGGAAGGGTATTAGAGTAATGACCCAGCAACCCTTCTTTTTCCCTTTGACTTCTACAGAAATCTGGGCCTGAGACATTGTCTACAATTGGGTTCTAGATAAATCAGGAACCCACCTAAATAAGTACCCATCTTTTGTTTTGAAAACATCTCAGTTTTCAAGACTGCTCTTAGTATTACATGAACAATATTTGTATGCTGTATATATTGTAAACATATGTAATATATAAAGTTATATATTTATAAGAAACACGAGTTGTCTTTTAATTGAAACTTTTAATCCTGTAGTATATGAGCTCACCTTCTTAGGACTAGAGACTGTGCCTAACAGCTGTTAATTCATTTCCCCCTGAACATCAAATATACCTGAAGAGAAGAAAGTCTAGACTCTTCTATGAGTAACCCCCCCTCCTCACTCAGGTAAATGTGTCTGGGGATGCCTGTCCAGCTTAACCACGTGCATTTGGCCTATGTAATCCTGCCCATGGTGGCCGCAGCTAATCAAAATCAGATGGAAAATTAAACTAGGTAATCTACTTCTAAGCCTTAAGAATATTCCCTGGGGCACAGGCACTATAATTGGAAGTGCTGGGCTCTAGGGCAGAAGGATCAGGTGACGTTCACAACAAAGTTTGCCCCCACCTCACGCAGGGCCCAGAAGCACCCCAAGTTGTGGTGGAGGATCCAGGAAGCTACCAAGAGAAACAGCGAGCATGGTATTCTGAGCTGGCTCCCGCACGTTTTTCAGGAGGCCTGGTTGGACTTGGGTTCCTGGATGGGTAGGACTGTTGTACCTCACAGGAGACCCTGCTGTCAAGACTCTGTGTGTGGATTTCTCACCCTTAGAAGCTCTACTAAGACATCAATGGAGTTAGGGCCTGCCTTTTTTCCTCGTGAGCACCAAGGAAAAGAAATTATCTTGGTTACGTGAGTGCCAGTGAAACGAAACTATATCAGTCACCCAGAGACTGTTTATTGCCCAACACGTTATTCTTGCTATTGGTGAGGTAACTAGCTGAGGAAGACACAGTGCCTTCCCTTCAGGAGTTCCGTCTCCTCTGGAGGCTGCGATGGTCTGCTCTGGAGCATTGGGTGAATACACAGACTGGCTGCTCTGGGCAGCACCTTCACTTTGACCCTGGAGAACCATTTCATTTCATCCTGGCCAGTCTAGAGTCTGTGCAGCAGGCAGTCCATCCACTGAAGGCTGTGTTTTTTCTTTTCCTGTGCCCCTTGTAATGGAAGAAAGTAAACTGCTTATTCTGAGCCTTATCACAATCTGCCACATTCCTTCTCGTCTACCTGTTTAACCATACCCCCATGACAAAAACATGCACAACTTTTTTTTTAAGTTCCAGGGTACATGTGTAGGATGTGCAGGTTTGTTACATAGGTAAACGTGTGCCATGGTGGTTTGCTGCACCTATCAACTCATCACCTAGGTATGCATTAGTTATTTTTCCTGATATTAGCCTGATATATTTCCTGATATTAGCCTGGCATGCATTAGCTATTTTTCCTGATGCTCTCCCCTCATCTGCCCTCCCCCAAGAGGCCCCAGTGTGTGTTGTTCCCCTCCCTGTGTCCATGTGTTCTCATGGTTCAGCTCCCACTTATAAGTGAGAACATGTGGTGTTTGGTTTTCTGTTCCTGCATTACTTTGCTGAAGATAAAGGCTTCCAGCTCCATCCATGTCCCTGCAAAGGACATGATTTCATTCTGTATGGCTGCATAGTATTCCATGGTGCATATGTACCACATTTTCTTTATCCAGCCTATCACTGATGGGCATTTTGGTTGCTAACCATGCACAACTTTTAACTGACTTGTAGCTTATTCCAGGAGTCGGTCCTGGCACACTCTACCTTACTATCACTATCAGCCTTTTCTCCTTCCTTCCTGACCTTCCCTCCTTCCCTCCTCCCATCCCATACTTCCTTTTTCACCTTGAGGAGCTATGGGAAGTACTAGGTGGTATGAAAGAGAGTGAGGAGAAGATAAGAGTCCCTACCCTAATGGTAAATGTATGCTTTTTATGGGAAAACAAGATAGATAGTACCTGGCAACATTTGTGAACATTTCCTTCAAAAATCTTTAAATATTTTTCACTAAGACTTAAAAAAAAAAAAGCTTTTATACGAAAGCATAACTAAGGCAGAAGGAGAAGTAAAAATAACAGTCATCACCCAGAATGCTAAGGAGACCCTAATCTAAACAGGAGATTGGAAGGGCAATGGGAATATGCTGTGTCTTCATTAAAGTTGTTCTGTTGCTCTCTGGGCTCGGACCTGGTTCGTGGCGAGATGGCCAAACGTACTAAGAAAGTTGGCTCATCAGTAAATACGGGACCCGCTATGGGGCCTCCCTCCAGAAAATGGTGAAGAAAATTGAAATCAGCCAGCACACCAAGTACACTTGCTCTTTCTGTGGCAAAACCAAGATGAAGAGACGAGCTGTGGGGATCTGGCACTGTGGTTCCTGCATGAAGACAGTGGCTGGCAGTGCCTGGATATACAATACCACATCCGCTGTCACGATAAAGTCCGCCATCAGAAGACTGAAGGAGTTGAAAGACCAGTAGATGCTCCTCTACTCTTTGAGACATCACTGGCCTATAATAAATGGGTTAATTTATGTAAAAAAAAAAAAAAAAGTTGTTCTGTTAATTAGTTAACACATAGTTATGCTTTCCAGTGGGATGAAGTGAAACTCCCAAGTGTGTTTTGTATTGTTGGTGTTTTTATATTTCTCAGTCATCCCCCAATCACATTTTAGGGTTATTACTAGATTGACTTCGCCCAAATAAAGTGTCTGCTGAGTGGGAGGATGGAACATTCTAAACTCAATATTCCAGAGCCTAGAATCTAATTGTTTCTGCCACTCACAGTGTGGCCTTGGGCAAGTCCCTTATTCTGTCTGTGCCTCCATTTCCTTCCCAGTCCAGAGAGGGCAGTTTGACTTGATGATTTTAAAGGTGCCTTTTACCAAAATTTTGTGATTTCTTGAAAATGATGTTTGCGAGTCACCCACACCTTTGGGGATGAGAGACTAATAGCAGACACCCTCAGAGATTGGGATGGAGATTACTGAGCTTTCTTATATAGGCCATTGGTTGTCATTTATACTCTTCTGAGGTTTTCAGAACAGGAAAATAGGTGGGGTTAACTCTGCCCGTGAGAAACATCTTGAGCGAACTATGATTTCAGTTGAAAGATGTGTTTTTGTGAGTGGAGCACCGCAGAAGAACTGAAGACTGTTGTGTGCTCCCTGCAGAAGGGGCTGCCATGATCCTTTCCTCCTGTGAGTAAGATGAGCTTTCTCAATTTATTTTCGGGGCTTGTTCTGGACCTATTCTTCTTGAACAGCAGAGGATGTTTTTTTTTCTAAGGCACAGAGCTTGGGAACATTAAAAGATAATTTCCTCAGATGTTGTGACAGAGTTTTGTTTCTTATTTAAAGAACCACGGTGGTGATGTAATTCTAATAAAGGTTCAGCATTGAGAACATAAATGAAAGAAAAACAAAAGAATGTCCAGGAATCTACATATGTGTGTGTAGAAATGCAATCAGTGTGAAGTACTTGTTTTTAGAATGAGACTGTAATGAACTTTGGGCTGAAGGCCAGGAGACCAAATTCTAGTTCTGGATTTGCTCCAGCAGTGGTGGATCACAGTTGGCAACTTTATATATATATATAAATACACACACAGACACAAATAAATATATTTAATGCAAAAGGAAGAGAGGTCAAAACACAACTGTGTTTATACTCTGAAATTATCTGCTTTATCATGTAAACATATAGACTTACCCTTATTTTCACAGGAGTATTTATTCACAATTTTGTGTAGACATCCGTTATTGAGGACCTTTCCCAGGCAATTGAAATTTAGGCAAAACTGATTCTTACCTGCAGTCAGAGCCTGAGTAAAGGCAAAAATAAGAGTCAAAGTCATGAGTCTCTACATGGTTAAGAGTGTGAACATGGTCGAGTGTGAACACTGGCTTAAATGTCTCTTTTCCTCATATATAATATTACATATGAAGATGTTATTTTAATATTTTTATAGAATATAAGACCACCATTAAAAATAAGTGCTAGTTTTAGGAGAACAGAGAAAGATTCCCTAGATGCTGTTATCTGTGAAGATCGTTGGTTTGAAAGAGCCGTGGGGACGCTTATAAATCCAAAGAAATTAGAATAAAAAGAAAAACAAGCAGAATAGTCTTCTAAATAAGAAGGCAGCCATCATATCAGAATTGCAATATCTTTGTTTCTTTATAAAGGTATTTATTGAGCACCTACCATGGGCCATGGTCTATACCAGTTCCTTTATATTCATTATCTGAAAGCTTCACTACAAACTGGCAAGGTGAAAATTGTTATTCTTATGTAGCCAATAAGAAAATAGTGCCTTTGAAAGTTTAAATCTCACCAAAAGCTCACATGGTTGTCACACTCAGGATTTAAGCATGAGACTTTTTTTTTTTTCTGAGACAGAATCTTGCTCTGTCACCCAGGCTGGAGTGCAATGGCGTGATCTCAGCTCACTGTAAGTTCCACCTCCTGGGTTCAAGCAGTTCTCCTGCCTCAGCCTCCCGAGTAGCTGGGACTACAGGTGCACGCCACCATGCCTGGCTAATTTTTCTATTTTTAGTAGAGACAGGGTTTCACCATGTTGGCCAGGCTGGTCTCGAACTCCTGACCTCAAATGATTTACCTCAGCCTCCCAAAGTGCTGGGATTACAGGTGTGAGCCACCACACCTGGCCAAGCATGAGACTTGCCAGACTTGGGATTTAAGCGCTCTTCCTTTTGCCTTAAATATATATATATATAAAAATATATATACACACACACACATACGTACACACATATATAAGTTTATATATATAAATAAGCTCTCAAAGGGAGTGTGTGTATGTGTATGTGTATATTTGTATACATATAAATCTGCCAACCGTGATCCACAAATGCTGGACAAAATCCAGAACTAGAACTTTTGCCCAGGCGACTCCCTTTTTGGCCACCTTGCAACAAAATGTAAACAATAAACCTAAGAGGTGCTTTAAGAACTTTATTTTGGGAGTTGCTCAGTTTTGGAAATACTTGTTAATTTATCTCTAAGACTCAGAGGGCGTTATTTTGCAGATAAGGAAGGAAAATACTGTCTTTGATTTTAATACTAGATGATGATGGAACCAAGCTTCAACAAAGCTCAGTCATATCAGATTAAAGCAATCAAAGGCCAGCTAAAAAAAGTCAAGTTTTTACATTTCTGACTTTTAGGTGGCATTAAGGAAAAAATGATTGTAATTTTTAAATGTCATCTATTTAAGCCAAATCCCCTTACAGGAGCCAACAATTGTTTGTAGATTTTGTAAAAAATAAATAAATAAATAAATAGACCACGTTATTCCAATTGTGCTGACCTGAAAATAACTCGTAGTCTTCCATTCACGCAGATAAGAACAAGGCTCCTGTTAACAGAAATATAGGCCAAGCAGAGCAAAGCAGAAAAAGCGAAAAAGCAGCAACCTGTGTCCCCTGCCACCCCCACTGGCAAGACAAGCTCAACAGTGACTTAAGAATCTTTAAATGTTAAAAGCTGTGTGAGCATCTGCTCTTTATTTCCGTCAAGGTCAGAACTAAAGAAAATGCTGTAAATTACAGCAGGAACGATTCGGTTATATATAAAATAAATCATTGTGAAGGTTGAGACAAGGATTTGATTGCCCAAGGGATTAAATAAGGGACTACCTATTGGCGGGGTATTTTGAGGATTATTCTCTCTGGCATGGCTTTGATGAAAGCTCACTCTCCTTTCCAGCGTCTGTTAATTTGATTTGATGATAAGAATCACCTGTTGTCTACTGTCAATTGCAGCTGAATGTGGCTACATTTTCTGCTGGGTAAAACAATGAGTGTTTACTGTTGACAAGGAGACAGCTAAGTGATGCCTCAAGATGTATTACTGTTAATCAAAAAAAAAGGCCCAGCCAAGAAGATTGCTTAAGCCGAGGAGTTTGAGGTTGCAGTAAGCTGTGACCGCACCACTCCACTCCAATCTGGGTGGCAAAGTGAGACCCTGTATCTTTAAAAAAAAAAAAAAAAAAAAAAAAGTTTATGTGTTTGTTAGGGTCATTTGCCAAAAACGTTTGTTGTTTTAAGCATTGTCATAGAAGTCTGGCTTCAAAGGTTGCTATATGGTAGGAGAAGGTAATTGTGGAGCGTGGGATATTGATCATACTGATGGGAGATTTGGAGTGAGGTGTCAGGTCACTGCTCCAGTGAGATTCAGTTTGTGAAACGTACTTGGCATTGCCAGCATTTCCATCAACTCACAGTTGCCCTGAGAACAGATCCAGCCTAGGAGAGTTATTTAAAGGACAGGGCAAGGGAGAATAGCTGGGGGCTTAAAAAGTTCACCTCTTAGCTCCCCTGTTTGCCTAATTTCTCTGCCTTTCTTTATTTACAACTTAGTAGAAAGAGTGGTTTCTAAGTCTTGGTGTGCCTGAAGCATGCCTTGGGTGCTATTAAAAGACAAGTTTCTGGGTTCATCTCGATAACTGGATCTGTGGGTAAGGTAAGGACATTTTGGTCACACCGCCTTTCTTGGGCCTCTCTTTTCGGAGTCCTATCTTACTCCTTTTTGTATCTGATTCTCAGACCAACTTTGTTAGGTCTACACCTTCCATTATTACTATTATGAATATGAAGATAAAGAGGGTAGCTGTGGTAGGCAGCCCCTAAGATGGCCTGATGATATCTGCCTCCGGATATTCAGGCCCTTATGCAGTCCTCCTCCTTGAGTATGAATTGGACCTAGTACCTCACTTCTCGTGATTAGAATATGGTAAAGGTGATGGAAAGTCACCTCTGAGACCAGGTTACAGAGGCTGCGGCTCCCATTCCTGCGATCTCAGGCTTTCTGCCTTCTGCATTGCTGGCTGCCTTGTTGGGAGCACTCTCAGGCAGCCCGTAGAGAATCCCCATCACGAGGAACTGAGGCACCATGGAATCCGCTTAGAAGTGTATTCTCCAGCTCTGGTTGGGCCCAGCTTGACTGCAACTACCTGAGAGATCTGGAGCCACGGGCACCCAGCTAAACCCTTCCAGAACTCCCAGCCCACAGAAAGTGTCAGATAAACGTTTTAAGTCATTAGGTCTCAGAATAATTTGTTTCCAATAATAGATAACTAAGTCTGTGACAAAAGCAGGAGGAGCCGCAGATTAAAAAAGAACTTGGCCACTTTGGCCACCCTTCTGTCTGGGGGCTGGAATTTGATGCCCTTTCTGAAAATAGGCTCAAGATTAAAATGGACACTAGATGTGTCTTTTCTTTTGTCTTTAAATCATTTCAGTTTTCCACTCCATCACTGCCTCAAGTGTCTGGTAATAACTGCAGCCACCTTTTGTAACTACTGCAGATCCCCCCATTGCTCCTCTGTGGAGCCCCTCAGGCCAGCAGCGCCCGCACTTCCTGCCCACCGAGGGTCAGTGAGCAGCATGGCTTCCGGCCTAGTGCCAGCCACACCCGTGCGCCTTGTGGCCGAGCGCTTCTTCACATCACAAGCTGACTCGATGTCTTGGGTGTGATGTCTGCGAGCTTGTTATGAACTTTGAGCTCACAGAAAAC